GAAATTCACGACCAATCAGAAGAACATGTGGGTGGAGCATTAGGAATTAAATGATTCTAGTTCTGATTTTGCTTAATAGTTCCCTTAATGAAATGATATTTCAGAGACAAGACATTTGGCTGCGACAAAGCTCAGCTATGAGATACTAAAAATATTTTAAAAAATCACAGCCAATCAGAAGGACATGTGGGTGGAGCTCTATCAGCTGTGTCTGCTTTTTTATTTCCTTTTAAGTTCTGAGGTATATGAATCATTGTTTCTCTCAGTATGGCTATACTGATCACACAAAATTGTATTTAAACCATTGACAGATGCAGTATTTAGTTTATTTTTTTTTTGTGAGAAAGATGAATCTTTGCATGTTTAAAATAAGAAAGAAGAAAAAACATCAATGTGAGCCCGTCTAGAAAATTCTTGAAGACAGGTGCTTGATCAAGTCAAACACTAGAAAAAGCCAAAAAAATCGGCACACTTCACAAATGGCTAATTTAGCTCTCTAAAGACAAATTCAATAGGATAACGTTTTAACCCACATGGCCTTCATCTGGTCACACAGGAAATACAAGAGAACTCGAGATATAGTCAAACTCTACACATCACACCTGCAAACAAGGATCACCCCAATTAACCAATAAGTTAGTAAACAGCAAGCCGAAAAGGACAGAAAATGACAGCAAAAAAAATATAATCCTAACAACAACTGTAAACTTAATCCATTTGAGTAGATGAAGCAATTTAAGCACAGTAAAACCCGATAAATGAGGAGAACTCAAACCAACTGAGAACTGTAAAATCCAATAAGTTAAGGCAACTTAAACTGTTTGAGGAAACCAATTGCGACAAACCATTTGAGTTAAGCTAATCTATATGTGTACTGTGAACTTACACCATTTAAGTTGAAGTATTGACGTATTAAAATTAACTCATTACCTTTTAAACTGAGTTCAAAACTCTTTCAAATGAGTAGAGTTAGTTAACTCCACTCTTCATTTGACATTAGAAGTTGACCGTTTAAAGTTCTGGTTTTACTGTTTATACACATACAAGTACAAAAAAGATTTCAAGTCAAAATCCAAATTCAAACCCGGAGATAAAGTATTTAATGTGTAAATAAAAAAGCTTCCCTCTGCATTAAAATTGTATCTATATCACTGTCCCTTCTAGGTATTTAACTTGTTCAATGCCTAAATAGCATGGTGTCGACAGATTATGTTTAAATTCATTAAAATGAACAGCAATAGGATTTTAATGGTCATTTAAAAGTATGTTACTTCTATGTTAAGCATTACGCATTTTTAAGCACTGCTTTTTACACCAATGTGTGCTAAACTAAACCACAAGGACAGTTAATCAAATAAATACCATATTTTGTATTGCAAGAAATTATACCTTTGATCATCATCTGTTTACCTGAATGAGTATGGGTACTGACATTTAGTTGTAATATTGCAATGTGCACATTGTCCACATCTATACTTTCCTTCAGGAACTGAAAAAGGATTTGCTCCACTTTCACTAACATTTATCGCAAGTAAGCAGTTATATAAAATATCACAGAAGTCATAGAATCTTAATGGATGCAATTCTGTTGTATACTTCTAACATTTACATTTTAAATGCTTGAATGACTCACTTATCATGGTTACATATTCAGGACTTTAGTAACCCAGACCTACATATCTAATACTGATGTATGTTAAACTGCTGCAATAGCATGAAACACTTCTGATACTCTAATAACAATTACAACTGAACAAATGAAAGCATTTCATTATGCTTTGAAACTTGGAAGAGTTCTTTTTGAGGAGAAGATTTTACCGTCACTGTCATCGTCAGATCTCTCTTCTTCGGGGTTTAGCTCATATTTACAGTCTCCATAATATTCTCGAAACTGTCATTTCCACAGACTTCAAAATCAATAGTTTGATCGCTGACAGCTTATTCACTAGATCCACCATCTAGTGACAGTGGCACTTATATTTGATTGCTTCACTAAAATCTCTGCAGTAAAGAGATTCGTGCTATTTCAGGTTTTACTGCTTCTAATGTTTTGATTTATGCCTGTGATAATTATGACTGAAGCATCATGTCGTTATTGTGTATTTTCTTGAGCTATAAAGTTGAATTGCACTTATTGAGTCATAACATATATAATCAACGTTGCGCAAGAGAAATTTTCTGAGATTTTTTAATTTTTTTTTCAAACAAAAGTCTTCTCATCTATATAAGTTTTAGGAACAACAAATAATAATTTGATTTCTAGTTGATCATTTGGCATTAGAGGTGGCTTATATGAAAGGCAAAGGCCTTTAGTTTACGGTTTACGGTTATTTTACCAAAACACAATATGTTCATGTCTTGATTTTTAATTTTCTATTTAGGACAGTAAGGTCTGACTTTGCTTAGACAAAAGTCTTGTCACTTAACAGAAATAATGTACAGTATAGAATATAAAGCCATGGAGCAGTGGAAAAAAAATATTGTGTATGACTCCCATGAGCTTGGAGGACTGCATCCATACATCTCTGCAATGACTCAAATGGCAAATGGCAAAGAAAGTGTTCTTACAGGTCTCCCAGAGTTTATCAAGATTCTTTGGATTCATCTTCAATGCCTCCTTCATCTTACCCCAGACATTCTCAATAATGTTCATTTCTGGTGACTGGGCTGGCCAATCCAGGAGCACCTTGACCTTCTTTGCTTTCAGGAACGTTTATGTGGAAGCTACAATATGATAAGGAGTGCTATCCTGCTTAAGAATTTGCCCTCTCCTGCGGTTTGTAATGCATTGGGCAGCACAAATGTCTTGATACCTCAGGCTTTTGATGTTGTCATCCACTTTGCAGATCTCTCGCACGCCCCATACTGAATTTAACCCCGAACCATGATTTTTCCTTCACAAAACTTGACTGATTTTTTTTGTGAGAGTCTTGGGTCCATGCTGGTTCCAATAGGTCTTCTGCAGTATTTGTGTTGATTGGGATGCAGTTCAACAGATGATTCATCTGAAAAATCTACTTTTTTTTTACTTTTCTAAATGGTCAACCAAGTCAAGTTGTTTGTTGCTTATACAACTGAGAACAACAGCAAGACTTTTGTCAGGTAGTGTAAATTGTTTATAATAAATAGATCGAGGGATACTAAGAAGGCTCATGTTTAACGTAAAACAAGTAGTAGGCTAATGATTCCGTACCACTAAAGTATTAAAATTAAATTAAGTGTTTAAATTAAATGTTTTTCTCAGTGTAACTGATTCATCCAGTCCAAATGCACTCCCTCTGTAAAACAGTCACTGATTGGTCTTTATTATTTTTTCCTAATACCACTAACTATATGCATGATTGTCTATTGATCTTACAAAACATCAGACCATCATCACGTAATGGGTCGAGGCAGTGGCGCAGTAGGTAGTGCTGTCGCCTCACAGCAAGAAGGTCGCTGAGTCGCTGGTTCGAACCTTGGTTGGTGTTTCTGTGTGAAGTTTGCATGTTCTCTCTGCCTTTGCGTGGGTTTCCTCCGGGTGCTCCGGTTTCCCTCACAGTCCAAAGACATGTGGTACAGGTGAATTTGGTTAGGCTAAATTGTCCGTAGTGTATGAGTGTATAAGTGTGAATGTGTGTGTGGATGTTTCCCAGAGATGGATTGCGGCTGGAAGGTCATCCGCTGCGTAAAAAAGCTTGCTGTATAAGTTGGCGGTTCATTCCGCTGTGGTGACCCCGGATTAATAAAGGGAATAAGCCGACAAGAAAATGAATGAATGAATGAATGAATGAATGAATCATCACGTAATGCTACTCTGAGGAAAATGTCATTTTAAAAGCTCAGCACATTTTAAAATGTTTTTATCTTATGCATTATGATGTACTATAGGTTGTGAGTAGGCTTTTTTGTTCACTGAATAAATCACATATTCAGTATCTGAGATAGTTGGTTTGAAGTATTTATTTATTTTTTTTAAGAAATACAATCTGGTCTGAACCGGTTGGTTAAGACAAAAGCATGGTTTAGACGGAGAAGGTATTTTATCATTATGTGCCTCGGTGTTTCATCACTTCTGGTTAAGACTCGATGTGTTATTCACTCAATTAATGTTAGAAGTTCTGCAAAAGGAGAATTGGGTATTGTATTCATTTGCATTTTACAAAGAAAAATTTTAAACGTGAAAAGATTTGATGTTGAAAAGATCTCATAAATAATTGAATGAAAATAATCCTTACTGGATTTAGCACACACACACAGGGGACTTAATGAGGCAATGGTCATTTTTATTTTCTGTATCCTTGATGTTTGATTCAACAGAGATCAGATAGCATTGCTCTCTTTCCCCACTTCCACAGGCCATGAACATTTTTTTATATCATTATTCATATTTGAGCCCTGAAATACCTTCTTCCAGAGAGCGTATTTTTCTCAATAGTTTTTTTCTCTCTCTTCCTGCAAATCCAATTATGCCTATCTGATAGATAACCTTCAAAACCTGATTCCAGTATAACGGATGTCAACAAATCACCCGTCACCCCATCATTCACTAAACAAGACGTTCCTGTCAATGTGTTGACTGCATTTCTGTTCATCCGTGTCTCTTTCATCCAACCCACACAGGGAGTTTCACTGTTTCAGACTTTAAATGGACAGATTTTGCATAGCAGGAATCTCCTGGGGTCCGTCTTTACCGAGATGTTCTTCCTGATTATCTTGTTTTCCTTTTAATGAGTGTTTGTTCTCTGCTAATCATTTTGGCACAAGGCAACAAGATGAAATGCAATGCGTGGAAATGAAATTAAATAACATGTTTCGATTAAGTTGCAGATATTTGTTTTGTGGCGTTTTTTGAAATTTGTACAAGTAACGTAAACAATGTGTACTCTATAAAACAAACCATTTTCTGCAGCTCTCTTTGTTTTCGATTTACAAGCCAAGCTTCAGTTTATAAAATGCCGCGGTCTGTTTACTTGTTTATTGTGACGGCTGTTAGAAATCTTCTCTCTGTTATTCTACAGGCTCAGATCTGCAGGTGTGCCAGCCAAAAGGCCTGACTTGCTGTTCTCGCAAAATGGAGGAGCGTTACCTGCTTATTGCCAAACAGAATATGGAGTCTAGCCTTCAGGCCACCAGCGCTCAGCTCAAAGGGCTCATCATCCAGAATGCTGCCCTCTTTCAAGGTGAGTTTCTGCTACATTTCTGTTTGTGAAACCATTTTTGGGTACATTTTTGTCATAAGTTAAACCTTTAGCATCCCCTTGGGCGGAAAGCTGAAATGCTTAGAGTCAAGAACACATTAATTCTTAACACACTCTCAGAAATGTATGAAACCTGTCACTGGGGTGGTACCCTTTTAAAAGGTACACTTTTATACTTAAAAGAGCATGCATTAGAACCAAGAGGATCCATAGTGGTATCATATGGTAACTCTTATGTGTTGCTGGGGATGTTTTCATCCACTCTGGGGTGGTTTTGAATGTTATTTTGGTCTTAACTTTTTTTGTTTCAGCTAGCAGAATGGTGACAAACGTTGTTTTTGGTGATAAATCTTATTTTAACACTTATTTTGAGAAAATTCTTAATTTTTTTTCAATTTCAAAGATACACTCTGGGCAAAATGACTACTTTTTTGTTAGTTTTTGTGAAGCATAAGATTTTTATTTTTTCTACCTAATTTAGTGTTGGTTGCTGTTTTTGCACCGTTATAAACACATTTTTTGATCGCAAAAGCATGACATCATATAATCATGCATTTTTGATTGTTGGTTGTTTTCCCTGTTGGCAAGAGGTAAAATTTGTAATTTTATTGTTGATCATCAGTTGGCACCATTAACCTTGTAGATAGGCCTGTGCAAAAAAGTTTAGTTTTTAAATTTTATATGGAGTTATATTGAGTATAGCAGCAAGTTAAAATGTGTGTCTGAGAGTGACCTTTGCACACTTACCTTGATGTGTCTGAGAAAATCAAACCATGCATCTCTACTCTTAGAACTACATGGAGTAAACAAAAACAAAGACTGTGTATTTATGCACATTGCAGATGGCTTTGCAATCAAAGAATGTGGTTATAATGGAAGTTAATAGGGCAAAAACAGCCATGAACAGTCAATTAGGAAAAAAAGAAGTTTAGTTTTGTAGTTTTGATCTGGACTAAGGTTGATTCAGAGATTTGTGCAAAAAATGTATCTGATGCATTTTTTACTGCAGTTAAATTCAGGGCATGTTTATTTTAATGTAAATTTGAACTGCACAAGCGTTAAAGGATCATATTAGTACCTAAATAATATAAAAATGTTCTTTTTGAAGGGGTACCACCACAGTGACAGCTTTTGTACTTTTATTTCTGAGAGTGAACATTAAGGAGAACCAGTGTTTTTAGTTTGGCAATTATTTGCTCTCATAATGGGTTGTATTGTTATTAAAACTGCCTTCTGTCTGTGAAAATTTGTCAGGCACTATAAAATGTGACTGCAACTAAAGATACTTATTGATGTTGTTTGTGGTTCTTGCTCACCATATATGCTTGTGTAGGACTATGAGACTGTCTACATTAATCTGGATAGACTAAAAAACAGTGTTTTTATCTAAAAATGTAGTGTCCACACCATCAATTTCAGCAAAAAGTTAGTCATTCGCACCAAAATGACTGAAAACGCTTTTGTCTCTGTACTGTGCACACATTAAGACATAGGGTGCGTTGACATGGATCATTTCCCCTTTGAAATATTTCAGCAATATTTCAAGTACAGAGGTTATAAATGGACAAACAGTGAAGTGGAGTTGTTGCTGTAAGTTACACAGAAAGTTGCAAAAGCGATCAAGAAGAATATATACACTTGGAGATGTGCCAAAACAACAGCTATGAGGAAACATTCTGTGTATTTTAAAGAAGAGCAGTCTGGAGCTTCTATAAACTGACATTAATCTTTAACATTGCCATCCAAATGGTGAGCATCCAAAATCACTTATGTACAATGTCCTCCACCACTTTAGCTGAATTGGTTAGCTGTATGCTTTTTAGCATAATGATATGATAAAAATGAATGATAAAAAAACATGCCACTGTTTTTGAAAGCCTCCATTTTCACAGTTTACACTGCAACTTGAAAACAGCGTTTGGAAAATGCCTTTTAAAATACACTTTTTTTTACAAGGTGTGGATGGAAGGCCAAAATGGGGAGAAAATTATGTGTTTTTAAATATAAATGTATTAGTGTGTTCATGGCCTAATGCTGGGGTAAAGTGAATAGCAAAGTGTATGGTCAGTCATTGTCTGGTTTCATAGCAAGATGACTTGTAGTAGAAAATCAATTATGTGCAGATTGCATTATCAGTTTGCTTTATTTGGTTTTGCAAAAACGAGTTTAGTATTTTTCATTGTAACTTCAATGTGTCAATACTTTCAGTGCCATTCATTTTAAGCTTTACAAAACTGCTTTGTGCTTTATACTGCAAACTATTATTTCAAGCAATGTTCTGTAAATGTGCTGTTGTAATAATGTACTCTCTGGCACAAATAATTTTATAGTTTACAGTTATTTGTTGTTTTGTCTTTGCAGCAGCTAATAAATTGTTAGTTTTGCACATTCACAGAAAATAGCTTACTTCTGCATTGCAAAATAAGGATGCACAGAAGAATGCACAGACATGTGCAGTGTTTTTTATTGCAAAGTAAATGGAACGGCTGATTGGCAGCTCAGGATGATTTTCCCTTACTAAGGCAGAAATCTTAAAAAAATAATACTTTTCTGCATCATACAGTAAAATCCTGATGGGATATGCATTCAATGCAGTGTTATCAAGTGCTTTTATACATGCTGTTGCTTTTTACCAGTCAAAAATTACCCAGAAAACAATTTTGTATTTAATAGACTTCTAATCAGGGTGTAGATTTAGCATGGACAGAGGGGACATGTCCCTACCAGTATCCACCGACTACCAAAATGTCCCCACCAATAATTGAATTCACTTCTCATCCAAGTAGATGCTGCACACTGGTGTTGGAGAGACGCCCCTAATGATTGTGAAGTGCTTTGGGTGTATGGCCATGCACAATAAATGCACTATATAATAATACACATTAGGTATTTACTTGCTTGCTTACTTACTTACCTACTTACTCACTGTAACATGTAACGTGATGTAGCATTGCTAAAACTGGGCAGGGGAATTTTTCTGTGCAAGAAAGTGTGTGAGGTGAGTGATGCACATGTGAGGATGGTGACAGCAAAATAAAAGGTGGACATGAGGAGCTTTTTTTTTCTTAAAGTGTAAGTCACAAACTCAAATTTACTACTCAAAAGTCCATCATAATAATGGGTACATTAATGCTAGTGTTTTTTCACACTTTGACACACAATCTAATGTTATAGCAGACTATTATAGTCTGTGAATAATATGGTCTACATTTACATTTACATTTAGTCATTTAGCAGACGCTTTTATCCAAAGCGACTTACAAATGAGGACAAGGAAGCAATTTACACAACTAAGAGCAACAATGAATAAGTGCTATAGGCAAGTTTCAGGTCTGTAAAGTCTAAGAAGGGAAGTATTAGTAGTATTAGTATTTTTTATTTTTTTTTGGTACAGTTAGTGTGATATTCCGAGAGGCAATTGCAGATTAGGAAGTGTAGTGGAGAGTAAATAGTTGAGTTTTTAGTCGTTTCTTGAAAGTAGCGAGTGACTCTGCTGTTCTGATGCAGTTAGGGAGTTCATTCCACCAACTGGGCAAATTGAGCGTGAGCGTGAGCGAAAGGGATTTCTTCCCTCTTTGGGATGGAACCATGAGGCGACGTTCATTCACAGAACGCAAGTTTCTGGAGGGCACGTAGATCTGCAGAAGTGAGAGCAGATAAGAAGGAGCAAGGCCAGAAGTCACTTTGTAGGCAAACATCAGAGCTTTGAATTTGATGCGAGCAGCAACTGGCAGCCAGTGCAAACGGACTAGCAGCGGAGTGACATGTGCTCGTTTAGGTTCATTATCTAAAAAATAACTGCACAATAAACTGCTAAATAAACTGCTAAATGTAAAAGTATAAATGATATGACCTCTCCTCTCTCAGAGTAGGCTAGCATGTCAAATTTCACATGTGGTTCAAAGGTCCCCATCAATGTCAAGAGCAAACCTATGCCCTTGCGTCTAATACACATCTAAACGCAAACAACTTGGCTAAAACAAGGGTACACTCGGGGTGTCATGAATATCTAATAGACATCTAAGAATAGCCCAAAACTAGACGAGTCGTCAAAAAGACAGACTAGACAGACTTTATATGTGTAGTCATTCATTTCTGTTTATTTGATGACTATTCTAATTTTGGCCTATTCTTAGACGTCTTTTCACTGACAACCAAATTTAGCCTTGTTTTAGCCAAGACAACTATGTTTAGACATCTATTAGACGTATTTTATAAACAAAAAATACTTGCTGGGTACTCTTCTCAGCAGTGGTAAAATGCTACTGCAAATTGCTATTTTTGTATCACACAGAAACTGCCTTACTAACTATGATTATAATTGATTCATATGGTTCAAAGTGAAAATAATTCACTAATTGTGTAACTGGGAAATTGAAACTGTTTTATATGTGGATTGGCATATATTTAGACTGATAACTGGAACATCCTGACTGGTCAATTTAATGAATCGTGTAATTTTCCATGAGTGGTCAACCTCTGCTAATCGTGTTGCGCTAACAACATTAGCATCAGCTCCTGTCTGTTCAGGCAGGCGCTTCCATGCTAATTGCTTCAGCACTAGGCCTGAGAAAAATTCTCAAACAGCCTGCAGAATTTCTCCAAATGTGCTCTTGTCTTGGGGTCCCACGGGGGAATTTGCGAGCGGGCCTTGTTGCAATCTTCAGTGCTGCTCTCCCTATTGCTTTTGATTCTTTTGTAGTTTTGGCGGCTGACACAGATCAAAGGGCTCGGCATCTTCCATCCCTTCCCATCAGCCCCTACTACTACACACACACACACAGACTGACACACACACACCGCGAGCTGCGCCAAAGAAGTGGCTCTTTGAAGTCGACTTCACCAAACAATTGTAGAAGTTAAGAGGCTCTGTCGCAGGGACTTTTTCAGGGCATGGAGTGATGAGCAGTTTTTCGGGTCTCCTCATATCATGTTTAGTCACAGTGTGTCTCTCTTGATTCATGTCAATGGCTCGGTTAAAA